CATCCTCCTGGACATCTGCATAAGGGAAAACCCTGCTTATAATTATCCGAGGGTAGAGGCCAATTTTATTTTACATTTAAATCCTTTTGCAGCCTCAAAATGTGCAATGAAAATTTTCAGGAACATGTAAAGTGAGGGAGAGTCATATTCTACTTTGTTCAAAGCTTTAAACAGAGTCATTCGCTATTTGGGAAAACTCACATTACCAGCCCAATTCACAGCGTTCGAGTCCCTGGTACAACACGCACTCTGCTGATGGGTGCGTGTATGGCATGGATATAACGAGAACTTTGTTATAGTGTCACTAGGGCATTGTATTTTATTTTTCAAACTAGGTGAGTAGGTAGGAGATGTCATAAGGAATTTCATCTCGTACAAAACATTTGTAACAAAAGGGAGCTTGGATCCATTGGAATTGAGACTTATCCTTGAATTTCAAAGGATCACTCTGAGAGTCTGAGGTACCTACTTACAAGTCCCTGCCGAGAAGCCATACTTCAAGTAAACCCTTTTAGGAGGCACCTGGGGGCCGCTTACCCTGGTCTCCAGCAGCTGAAGTTCCCGAAGGCACCAGCAGGAGGGGCATGCTGAGGCTCGAGGGGTGTGACCAGAAAGGTGTGGTGTGTCTTAGCTGGGGCAGGATGAGGCATTACCTGGAGGGGCGTGGCAAGGCCAAGAGGCGGCGGGGCCTGGTATGGATAGGACCTAGGCTGGGCTTGACTTGTCTGGGGTATGGTCTGTCTGGCAGGTGAAGCCTTCCCTGCAGTCCTAGCCCAGGGCCCTAGAGTTGTAGTTGACCACCTGGGGCTTAGGGGAAGAGGAGTCCCTATCCCAGGTTCCAATCCAGATTCACAGCATTTCCAACAATACTAGATGAGAACGTTAGTCCTTTAAGTGGAGGGCGTCTCTACCTATGCATCTTTTGAAGGTGAGGCAACCAAAATTTGCAATCTAATAATCCCATAAATGGATAATTTTCTGCATTGTGCTCATTTGTGTGCTCCAGGAATGAAAAATCTCCCCTTAAAGCCACCTTCTTTCAAAGGAGGAACCTGAGCAGCCCCCACCTCCAGCAGGATGGCCGAGTGCCCAGAGATGCATACTGCACTTGTCACCTCTTCCCTGTTCTCAGTGTCCTACAGTGAAGTGGGGAGGGATAAATGACGGGAACCTTTTCAGTGTTTGTGAGGATTAAAGGGCAATAGATGCAAAACACCTTAGCATTCTACGTGGCCCATAATAGGCAACAGATGGCAGTTATTGCTGATGTGTTCACAGACACAAGGATTAAGGACCACCCCATATGTTGGGCAATTAAAATACTAAGCATTTTGTGCAAATCGAGGGCATGCACTGTAGACTCTCCTGCATTCTTGGCAGAGTGGTGAGCATAACTTAACCTTCCTGCTTCCATCAGGGCGAACATTTGCTTCTAAGGTGGGCGCCTGACTTGGAGCTAGATGGACATGCACCTTGGGAGGGCCTGGGGCTCTCTTCTCAGAGGTGCTTTTGGGGTTATTCTTTCGGACATTCCTTCTTAGGAGCATAGATCAAGGAATGAGTGGTTGCCCAGTGCCGGGGGTAGGTTTTCCTGGACAATATCACCTGGCCTCTTTTGCAAAATTACCTTTTGAATTTTCAGCTGAAGCAGCTGTCATTCCTCTACTTCCTCCAAAACATTTCCCAGTGGCTCTGAAATACCTTTGCATTTACTGAGCCTTGGAGGTGGGAAGGACCTTAGCTAGAGTTACAAGGTGGGGCATTCAGGAAGAGGCCCAGGTTTATGTTTCAAATCTGGCCTGCAGGGAGGGGAGTGGCTAGGCCTGCTCTCAGCACCCAGTGGATGGGCCCCTCTTACCCCATGGGCCTGGCCCCTGTCACTCAAGCCCAGGAATGAGCATCATCTGGGGAATATGGGTTGGGGTGACCTGGGAGCACCTTCTCCCAAGCCTGCAAATATAACTTCACAAAAGAACCACAATTCTGAGCCACAAATCCCAGGGCCTGGGCTTTTCTGTATCCAATTGAATGCCTATTTTACTTTGGAAAAAAATCCAGTCACAAGTAGCATTAAAAGAAAACCAGCTTCCTTAAAAATGCTTTAACACTATTTTAAGTTCTGTATTATACCTGTCAGCACCAGGTGCCACCACCTCCGTGAAGCATCAGACAAGCCCGCTGCTGTGCACTGCTGCAGCTGACTGCCAGGACGGCTCACACTCCCCCATCTGCATCAACTGTGACTTGATCTGTGTCGGTATGTGTGCCACGCTTTCCCCAACTAGACCGATGCCTCTTAAGGTCAGAACAGTGTCCCGGTTGTCACCACAGCAGTAATAATCATCATTCTCATTAACTATTTTTTGTTTATGAGACAAAGTCTTACTTGTCGCCCAGGCTGGAGTGCAGTGGCACGATCTCGGCTAACGGCAACCTCAGCCTCC